AGCATTAGAGAGGTCACGTTTTTTACACAGCTGATCTGTGGCTGAACAATCTCTTTTTAGACATTAAGAATACCTAGGATTTTTTCAACACCAGATATCATGTCTCATCCGTGAATTACATTTTCCCGAGTTTATTATGACCATTTCAAGGAAAATTAAGCCACTCCATTAGCATCTGAGACAGAAGGACCCTTCAAAAATCCAATCCAATAGAGCAGTTGAAAGTATTTATTGCTCTTCCCTAATACACTCTACTTTCTCTGCCACGCAAGGACTATTCAGACATCATCATACAAGTATCAAGAGCATGTTCCTTGTCTCAGCTCCTAAGAAATGGCACTGGCACATACTTAATTATGCAGCAATTATAATCTAAAAGACTTCCCAGGATACAGATTGAGTTCCCACATGAGGAAGCTGCACGTGTTTTCCGCTGATTCCCGAGTGGCCACACTCTCTTGCCTTTTCCATCTAACCTTGCAAACATCTGTCTTCAGCCAAGGAAGCAGCAGCAAAGATGTCAACATCTGTTCTGTTCAGCTAAGTACAGCACTGATGTTAAAATTTTCCAAGATCATTGGTGTCCTACATTATTAATCGAGTGCCTCAGAAATAATTCGCCTGTTGACAGACTATTTTCCTGTCTTCAAAGTATGGTCAGAGCTCATCTTTATAGTATGGAGTATGGATGAAGGCAACTAGGTTGCAGTGCAACTGGTGAGGATTTGCTTGTTCACTTGAAGGTCATAAGAAGCAGCTGATGGAACTGGCAAGGTAACTGCAAGTCCCTCATTGCCCCTCATTTTTGACAGTTTATTTTGGGGTGTCCCCATTTCTCGTGAGTTACAGGGAGTTCATGTAACAGTAATGGCAAAGAACATGCTTTCCATTTATTTGTCCTCATTCACCAATATTTACATCTGGTTAGCCAGCTTAGCTGGTTGTTCTTTTTGCTGGGGTTGTTGCTGTGTAGTCAATGGTAGGCAATGTCTGAAGCTTGTGGTCACTTGTTGCCTCAGCTTTCCCTCTGGCAGTGCTTCCTGCATCTCTGCTCTATGAAGGTTATAGGTTATGCTGAGACTAGGGATACCAGAGAGATGGTTTCTCCCTATGAGATCCCTTAATGGCTGAGATAACTGAGACAGTGAAGGTACCAGTCTTCACATTTAATGAGGTGGTATACACCATACACCTGTGCAGGGTATTCTTTTTTTTTTTTTTTTTTTTTTTTTACGTTGGGCCCTGCTCAGTCTGACACTTACATTCTCTTGGTCTTCAGAGCTCCTTGTCAGATTGCTGTCTGAGGCCTCTGGTGGATGTGGGATGGTAAAAATGACCCAAGCATGAATTTTTTCCAAGTCAATTTAAAAAAAAATCTGAAAATATGAGGTTTTCTCATTTTAATATTAGATAAATACAATTCTTAAATTTAAAAAAAGCATCCAACACCAGAGCGATGGCCATTGTAAAACCCTTCCTAGGCTGGCCAAAGAAAGCAATATTATCTGGCCATAAAATATGAGAGAGAAATAGAACAACTCTTTGGCTCAAAAATTTCTCTGTTCTCCTCTTGGTCATTTTCTTCATCTCCCAGCACCAACATGTAGCAGTCAGAATGTCTTTAGCATTTTATCTTCAGCTCACAGAGCAAGTAAGACCTTTGTTTCACAGCACCTTCCAGATACAAAATATTCCCTAAATTTGAAATGCAGAACAGCTCCTAAATTTCAGAGAGCTGCCAAGTGAAAATGCTTTTGTGAGGTGCAAGGATGGCTCAGGGGAAGACTACCTCCAAAGAGAGCAGCCTGTGTGGGTCTCTGCTCTCACATATATGTTAGGAAATAATTGCACAGCCTGCTCATCTCATCATCATGCTTAGAAGTCAGCACAGCTTTAGTCCTTCCCAGCTCCCCTGCCACAGGATAAATCCTCTCCAACCATCTCATCTATCAGCTTTGTGTAAGTGCTCTGTCCAGCTCTCTGCACTGTTTTCATCAAAAAGCACTGTCAGGTTGAAAAGTAGATGACTTACTTCCCCAAGTGATCTGAACAATTCAGTGCCACAGACACATGTTTAATGCTGAATAATCATCCCCCTTTCCCAAGTGATTTTTTAATGGCTGGGGCTGCCTTCCATCGTGTGCCAACCAGAAGGAGCTGTGATTAAGCCCCGCACTCCATGATTTCCATCCAAAATTTTCTGCTCAGTGGTGACAAAATTGTATGTAGTTTTCACTAAACTCGTCTTCAGTTTCCCAGTGGCTTTTAGTATGTGCAGATAATTCAAAATAAAGCCTCTTGTCACAGTAATATGTATTCTAGCGTAGCACGGAGGAGCTGTTTCACCATGTAAAAGCCATATTGCCAAGCTGTATTATGCTTTACCTGTCACCACGCCAGGAAACATTTAAGAAGGAAGGAAAACAAGGAGAGTGCATGTGTTGCCAGCCATTTAATATAGGCCATTTACTTATTAAACTGTGGAAAGGTGCTAGAGTTTAAATTCACCTCTTTTTTTTTCTTTTTTTTTTTTTCTTTTACCAATAGCAAAAAAGCTGAAGGATTTTGCACAGACCATATACTGTTCAGTGTAGCTAATTTGAATCTGGACTATCTCACTTGGTCTTTATGGTTCGCTGGTCTTTCCTGAGCCTCAAGGGGTTTTGTGTTTGTTTTCAGGTGGTTTATAACACCCTAGAAAGTGAGGTTTTGGCTGAGCAACCGGTTTTGGTTTCTGTGAGGAGGGATTGCATGGCCATTGGGGCAAGTGGGGACAAGGCCAGCCCTGTCCCATGCAGGAATTTCCCAGTGTAAGCATTTTGCCATTGTACTGCATCATCACCGTGCCAGCCCAAAGCCCTGAGCCTCCTGCTAGCATTTCCCATGCAACAAATGGTCACTCTGAGCACAGGTGACACTCTGATAGAGGAATGCTGGAAAATGAGACCAATTGGTCCCTTTCAGGGGATGCGCCATTCATAAGACAGTGTCACTCTTCAGTTCTGTTGGAGGGGACAGACTGATTTATGGGTCCTGCATTTCAGTGAGAAGATCTGGTATGAAGCACCACCATAGAAGTTGTTGTAAGTAGCTATGGCATTGTGGGTATTTTTAATTTGTACAATTCCACGTCCTTATAGTTTTAATTGTTTGATCTCTCTGTGGTTCCTTTTGGCAGTTTACACAGTGTTGATATGTTACAGTGCACTTTGAGAATAAAAATTCAGATCACGGATGCAGAGTAGCTCATGGAGAGCATCTCTTCTAGGCTTTGCCTTACTGAAATGTGGAGCTATGTGCTTCATTTCAACATGTCCTGGAGTATGACTTAAGCACTGTGCTAAAACCCATGGAGACAAATGGTTGTTTCAAAAAATGAGGTTGATGAATGTTGTTTAAGTCTTGTTATAACGTGATCTACTGTGATCAGGTATGTTATCCTGTCACTTGAGCATGTGTCAGTGTAATGTCGTTTTAATTCAGGGCACGGGGGGATAAGAGGTGCCCTTGATTTACACTTGTTTCCATGTAAGAAGCTCAAGCTATGAGGAGGAAAACCTGAGCCAGGCAAGGTGTTGTGCTATGAGGAAGACACCACAAGGACTTCATAGGGCTTAAAATGTGGGCGAACACTACTAAGGGTGGCAACAAATCTATTCTGGACCTCTAAAGAGGCTTTGTTGGGGATCAGGAGAAAATAAGGCTGCTCTGAATCACATGAGCTGTGAAGGAAGATTTTGAGGCTGGTTTCCCAGTAGCCCTTGCATAGAACCTAAGGCACTGACTTGAGTGATCCATCCTTTTTCTTTAAGTGTTTTGAAAAGACGGTTTCAAAGCGGAAACAAAAGACACAAATAGATGCAATCAGCAGGTCTTTCCCCCCTTTTTTCCCATTCTTTCCCTCCTCCTCCTCAGATGGTGCTGTCTCACTAACCCTGACAGTCATCTTATTGGTCCCCTCTTGACTGGCCTCTAAGTCTCCCCACCTGGTGCTCCAGTGCTAATTGGTACAATTAGCCTCTCCCTCCCTGGGCTAATTGCTAATGACTGTCTCACTGTTCTCATGGGGACTAGAAGAAACACGCAAAAGGAGGGGGGCTGCAATCACAGAAACACCAAGGGAGAACCATGGAGCAGGGATGGTTTGGTTTGTTTTCCATTTTTCTCATATTCACTCCTGCAAAGCACAGAAATTGTCTCTGAACAACCTCTGAACATCAGAGTGTTGCTCTGGTGCATACTACCAAGAAAGCAGCAGGCCTGGTCAGCCCCAGGATGACAGTCACAGGGGCTGTATGGCCCATCACAGGATTTCAGCACTGGAGCCCCTAATTACCACATGGTAAAACTCCTGAGCTCTCTACCCAAGGTATTTGTGAGATGCATATTATGCAAACACCTGTCTGGAGAATATTGCTGAAAGTTACTCAGAGGTTTTCAGTAAAGTTAATATCCAGATTGTTTAAAAGCAACTGTGAATAAAAGCCCTATTGGCTCTTCAAAAGAATAGTGTGATTTCTACAAAACAAACAAACATGCTCTTAAAGCTGCTACCTATTTAATATTAATTCAAGGATTTGTTTGTGACTGTATTTGAAATGGCTGCAGATGTCAGGTTGTCCTCTCTTGTTCTGAGCAGATAGGGTGCCTTGGTGACAGGAATCAGATTCAAGTTAGAGATCAGATTTATAAAAGAAAATATTGGAACTGTCTTTTCATACAGGGACCTGACAGTACTTAAAATAACTTTGTTTGTTTTTTAAGTAGTTTAAGTGTATAAGTTATACTATTAATCGTTTAATTAAAAAAAAACAAAAAACACCTGATGTTAATCACCTGACATGAATGTAATCAGTGTCAGAATCCAGGTTTTAAAGACAGCTCAATGGCTAAACTCTAGGGAAAGAAAAGGAGTAGATAACATCTTCCTATGGGTAAATCACGTGTTAGCTAACCTGGCTGAAATCAGTAGATGAGGATTGAGAGGGGATGCTCAGGGATACAACTTTCCAAATACATGTTTCCAGATGAGGGCTGGGGAGCTTTCCTCGATGTGCATGTAGCTCATGCCATGTTGACGAGTTAACCCAGCTGAGCAGAAGAACAGAGTCAGCTCAGTGGAAGATCAAGCTAAACCCGAGTGGCACCAAAGCCAGTGTCATGTACTCAAAGAGCTTCACCTGCATGGAATGATTTTGCATTGGTTTAACCTACAGTAAACAGCTTGCCCCCTGGCTTAATCAGGGAAAGGGAGGAGTAGACAGGGAGTCCCAGATGGGCTGAATTTAACCTGGAGATCTAACCTCTGTGGACAGCACCATGCAGGACTGTAAGTAGGTGCTCTATTATCGTGTAGATACTGTCTGATGCTCTCTGTGTCACTTAGCAGGCAAATGGAGAGCCTTTCGGCTCAGAAACACTGGGTTTGTTGGTTAAACTCTCTAAAAGTACTGCTGAATGTAAAATTTTTACATCCAGGAAAGAAAAGCTATGGAAGTTAAAAAAGAGATCTCCACAAAGGTGATTTCATGAACCAGCCCTGAAAGAGAGAATACTCGTGGATGAGAGCAGCAATAAGGTATTTGCTATTTTTGAGTCCTTGTATGCGAACTGGCAGAAATCAAGCCTCTGTCAAGCCTGATCTGCAGCTAGTGTTACTGCATTTTCCTGATGAAATGACCTCTTTGTGATGAGGCAGTGTTTATTTCAAGCTATATAATATCTTGTGCCATGCCAACTTCTTAAGTATTTGCTTCAGGTTTGAGCTCAGATTTGTGTTCTTCTTGTAAAGCTATTCATACATCCAGGCGCTGGGGTGTACATCAAGTTGTAACTTGTGGATAGACACTGACATTTAGGAAAAAAAAATCAGTCCAGGAAAGCATCTGCCTTGAACAAAGGTTTAAGGAACTATTCTTATCTCATGTAGTGGATGGATGGATGATGCAGGGCACTTCACTGCCTTTGCTGTGAACTTGACACTGTGCTGCTTGCATGGGGAAGGCTGTGTCGGGAGGGGGGCAGAGGTTGGTGCAGATGACCTGAAGCAAGGCGGAGGTAGGCTGGGCCACTGAAGCACTCAGTGCCCTTGAGTAAGTGGCTTGACTTGCTCATTCCTTAGGGTGACCTTGGACAAGGCTCTTAAATTCCTTTTCATCCGTCAGCCCAGCTGGTAAATTTGTTTGGGGGTGAAGAAACACCAAAATGACATTGAAAATCAAGTGGTGCCCCTGCATTGCCCTTTCCGGGGTAAACAAATCATACCCCCAACATTCCCTCCAGCCCACCACTGGGGGCTTTCAGTGTGTCCTTTGTGGAGCCCTGTGGAAAAGCCTGGGTGCAACATGAACTACACAAACGGTGCAGTTGCATATTCAGATATAGTGCAATGTTTGTTCATCTCTCAAAACGTATGTACTGTGCTGATCACTGTATTATCTGTGTGCTTTCTGCTAATTAGCAATGCAAATATAGAAAGATTCTTCTCCTTCTCTCCTTTTCCATAAGCAGCCAAATATACGTTACATTTTTTCACTGTTATCTTTTCTGTGATAGAAAAAAATCTAGACATAATAAACCGGTGTGTTCAGCAGCTAGTGGAAAGATAATATTATAAGTGTGAAAGATGGTTTTCCTGAAAAAGGACAGTTTTATTCACTGGCTAACAGAAAGCATTAGTTTTACAGTTCAGGGTAGAAACTGCCATAATTCTGGTCGTATTGTTTCTTCTGGCAGGGAATAAACTCTCTCTCTTTTTTTATACCTAGAGGTGAGTTTTTACTCTTTCTCTTTGAATTACGTTGGTGGTCATCAGAGTGGTGGTGGAACAAGAGTGTGATGTTGCTGGAGTACTTCAGATGTAGTTGCTCAAAGCACTGCCACTATAATTCAAAGTGAAGAGAGTAAAACTTACAGCAGGCGCTCCAAAATGGAGGACACCGAGGTTTTTGTTTACTGTCCTCGTCCTCCTTCCCTTTGGGCAAGAGCCAGCATCTGACATCTGCATTGCTTGGTACATGGAGTTATCCAGCTAGTTATGCACTGCTGCAGCACACAAGCTGGCTGAGCAGATGAAGCGGGCATGGGGAGTGGGAAGGAGAGGACTGAGCAAGAGGAGGTACCCCTGGTGCCTTCAAGGAAAACAAAGTCACCAGACAAATCCTTTGGGTACAGTAGCTGCTTCCTGCAAGTGATAGTTCTCATCAAGACAAACAGACTGACGCAAGAAATAAAGTAATTAGAAAGCACGTGCTATAAATAAAGAGTTGCAGAGCTGTAGTCAGTGGTGTCACCACCAAAAGTCCTGTTGAGGCAAAAAGAAAAATGAGTTTGTTTCCATGATTTTTCATCCTTAACCTCAACTTCTTTTCTTTCTGCAAAATATTTAGGCAGATTTTTCTTTTCGTAAACTTCATTATAAGTCACAAATTTATATTATACCTATATTCATAGCAGAATGTGTATTTATATATGACGGATTTGGGTCAAATCATGAATATAAAAATCCAAAGATTCAACAAATTTGAGCATTTGTGATGCTATTATTTGCAGTTCCCCTTTGGATTTGTTTCTAGAAAGGATTCTGTGGAGAGTCATATGATTTGTTATGGCCAGTCCCAAATACATCATTATTTCAGAAAATATTTCCACCAGACCAAGTGTGGGTGTTCTTCCACCCATGGAGTGGATTGTATGCCCTCAGCACAGATATCCCAATACATGAAAATAGTCACCTGGTCATGCCAGCAGCTCTTTTGAACTGCTGAACACAGAACCTTCTCCTACTCATTTTCCTGAAATGAAATCAGATCGGGTTCCTGGCCTGAGCTGTACAGTGGGACAGGAAAAATATTCTCTGTTTTGTACTTCTCATGGTTCCTGTCCTAACAGCAAACAGCATCAGTTCTGTCCTCAGTGATATCTCCACTGATGGAGATAGTCCATAGACAGGTCTATTCCAAATTTAAGAGAACGACCTCTCTAGATGCTTATGAATATAATGGATTTTAATATATCGCTGACATTGTGTGTGCATAAACAGAACTTTCTTCCAGTGAGTTTCCTCTGGTTTTGTTTTTTTTTTTTTTTTTTTTTTTAAGCCATTTCATAAGGGGGAAAAAATGCCAAACTTTTCTTTACAGATTGCCTGAATATCTGTAATTTATGGCAGCCCCTTGATGCTGGAAGAAATTACATCACATCCACATGAAAAAAAACAACCTAGTGGAAAGAGTGAGATTCAACATAAACTTGCAAGCCCTGCTTATAATGTGAAGCAACAATACGTGAACATACTGTTCTGCTGCTGCTACTCTGGAGAAGGAATGAGGGTAAAACGTGTGAGAGAGCCACAGTTAAATTACTCACTATTAGCCCCTACAGTGTGCTTCCAACCTGTGTTGATATATATATACAGAGAGAGCGAGAGTGTCACAGTTAAATTTTTTTTACTAGTATAATGAGGAAAGAGACCAACAGAAGAAGTTCCCTTGGCTAATTTTCTAGCCAGCAGCCACTGCAATGTTCCCACTAGGAGAAACTGAAGAAGTGAGAGAGTGATATAATAAATAATGACTGGCTCTGCTGGTAAGGAGAAATTATCACTGTGCTTGGGGGATCTAAGTATGTGCTCACCCAAGATATGTGGAGGGGGATGGGGCTGGGAGTGCTCAGTTGTGTCTCTAGAAGAACGTTCAGCAATGTTTGAATTAAAAAGGACTTCAGCCACCACACAGCCTGAATAAACTAAGAATGGGAAAGGCTGGATGGAGCTGTCTGAATGAGACGTGAAAAGAAGACAAAGGAGTATCAAATCTAAGATCTTGGTTTAAATCTGCTCCTGAAAAAGGTAGGTTTAAAGCAATGGGTGGGTTCACAGCCAGGCCCAAGAGCTGAGGTCCTAACTGACATTCCCAAGGGTGAGTTCCTGTGATGCTTGCCAAGACAGGGCCATCTGGTCCTGGTCAGACTGATGGTGGCAAGGAAAAAGATGAAGAGATGCACCATTCCTATATTTAACTTATACATTGGATAAAGCAATGACAGGAAACACTGGGGAAAAATTTTTGTCTGCAGCTGGGATAGCATTTGGAGGCTACTGTGAGTGGCACAAGAGTCCATGTGTAAAAGAAACTTTGTGTTTTGTCAATACCAGCTTTTCACCATGAGTTTTTAGGGGAGAGGCTGAAGAGGCTGCTCTTGGCTTGGGACCTAACTGTGGCCAGGGCTGGGAGGCTGAGCCAGGGCTACAGCTGCTCTTGTGAGAAATAACAGTAAAATAATTAATCTCTAGCTGTAATGGCCCCTCTTGCATAGAAATTAGCCATGTTTTAAAATCTGGGAGGCTTTTTCTTTATTGAAGACTAAAAGGAGGAGCAAACCGAGATAAAGTCACGTCTACACAGCCGTGCAGTATATGGATGTGTCTGTGTGCTTCTTTTCAAAGCTCCGTCTTGCAACATGGCACTTGCCCCTGCAGGCAGGCGTAGTCCTTAGAAACATAAAGGTGCAGTTCAGAGAAAAGGTCTCTTACAGGAAAGAAAAGAAGTGTTAGGGCTTAGCTGAACACAATTAGGCTTGGTGTAGGGCAGCTGGGTAAGATGCAGTGGTCCGTGATCCAGAAGATGTCAGATCAGATGGTCAAATGGTTTTGCCTACCCTTAGGTTCTATTAATTAAACTATATGGAAAAAATCCTGTGAGTTGTATTTGCTAAAATCTCTTGACCTTTGGTGGTGATAGAGTGAGATTGGCTATTCTTCTGAGATTTGTGTTATTTTAACAAAAAACCTCTGTAGAAAGGCTTGGATAATTTTGGAGCCCTCTAACTTGAATTAGATTTCTGTTTCAGGCTCCCTTGCACTGCGCTATTTTAGATTCTTTATGAAGCCTCTTTTTGTGTTTCTAAACATTATATGCTACTTTCTGTATTTTGCATGTGTACTGGCTTATATACAGAAATAAATAATCTGGGATTTAATGTGATTTAGTTGATCCAAGTGAATTCAACTTTCACAAAAAGAGTTGAATATTCTGCTTCCTAAGCTACCTTTCAAGCTTTTTCACAAAAGAAAAGCAGCACCCTTTTCCTTGTGCTCCAGCATCATAAAAATTTGCATGGTGAGATGCATTTCTCACCACATACCAACTGCAAATTGTATTTGAAATGGAAAGTATCAATTAAATAAGCCTTTCTGAACTGCCTGGTGACAGCTGCCACACTGCTGAATGTTGATGACACTTATGATATCAACAGATTTAGGCCCTTGCACTGGAGATTACAGAACGTTATCTAGCCACTGAAATTCTGGTTTAACAAGCAAATTAAGATCAGAGTCTCAATCACTAAGGACTGAAATGTTCACTGGGGGAAGCCTTTTCTCCATTAGCATACCCAGCTGAATCTTCACTGGTGCTAGTTTGGTTCAGCAGTTTCCAAACCTGCGTGATCTAATAAAGGGGCAGAACAGGATGGTTGTGCTGGGTCAGCCAGCTCAGATTGGCAAAATCACTCTGGAAATGCAGGGGTGTTTTGAGGAATTGAGACTGAGGAAGATCGCCCTTGGCTGGCCCAGCCGAAGCCTTGTCCCGGCTGAAAGGCACAGTGCTGCCCTCCACCACTCAGCCCCAGCACAGTGGGTATCAGGAGGCAAGGCTGGACATAAGGAGAAGTTTATGTTTTCAGCTGAACGGATTTTCCTGTCCTATTTAGGAAATACTTGTTTTCTGAAGCCAGATTTCTTTTGAATGAATGCAGCAGGTTTGAATAATGCCACTACTGTGTATTTTCCCCAGGTTGCAGTTCCTGGGCTGAGGTGAAAGACCCTCTCTTGCCAACAGAGAGACTTCAACCAGGATCCTCAGCATCCCTGATGGATGGTGTGCCCGCAGAGCTGTTGGCTGGTATATGATAGGGTTTTGCCCTATGGTGGTGGTTTTTGTTGTTTGTTTGTGTTTTTTTTTTTTTTGCTGAATTTATGAAATCTTGGATTTAGTCCCAATGAGTTTTTTCTTTTTTAATTCTAGAAAATCTTCAGAAAGCAGCTAGAACCATCCTTGTTTCCACAGGACCTTTAACCCACAGTGAAGGGGAGGTGTTGTTACAGTGTATGATGCACAGAAAAAGGAGTCATTTAGTAAAAGCAAAAAAATGGTGCCACTAACAACTGAAACATCACTTTAAGAACTGCCTCATCTCTCTATCACATTATCTCCTTTTCTACATGCTTTGGGCATCTTTGAGTGGAAAGAATCTCAAGTAGACAGGGCAACATTTGATGTGCCACTGCCAACACATGGAAAGTGCATGATCCAGCACCTGCAAAGTCTGGGAAAAAGCATGGCGTGGGTATTTCTCTTATGAAGAGCAGATGCACTGCATTTTTTATATGAGCCATGTGCCTAATCATGACTAGCGTACAGTACTTAGCTTAACAGTATAAACTAGACCCTGAGAAATACAGCTATTGTGATCTTTTCATTATTTATCCATTCTAATCTCTCTCTGTTAGGAGACTGTATATAATTTTTTTACTTCTGCAATAAATTATATAACTAAGAATCTCTCTATTTTTTTTAAATTCTGTCTTAAAGCACTCTGTTGAATAATGTTAGCTACATATATGTATTAATACTAAAAGTGAAAATAATATGCTAAGCTTTTCTACTGGAGTGCATATTAGGAAAGCCATTAATGTAGCAGTATGTCTGACACTGGGGAGTTATAAGAGCAGCTTCAGCTATGCAAGCACTGAGACCTTGGTGTTGTATGGCCCAGCACCAAAGACCAGAATATTCATGCTAAATTGTTTGATTTCTGTGCTTTTAATATCCTGTTTTAAATTTTTTCTCCTCAGATTCTGTACAGAATATGGCACTTATAGCTGCCACTGCTGCCATCAGAAGTGCTTATTTTGCCAATGGAATTTAAATGACATCTGGATGTGAGCCTTGCCTCAACACTGCAGCCTGGAAATGGCAGAATCCCTAGCATGAAAAAGGTGAGTAAGAGATGCTCTCATCTGAGAATAGTGATCCAGGAGCCATGGCTTTTGCAAGCACCCCCCTCAGTAGACCTGCGCCCACAACCATCTGTGGACAAGAAGGACAAGGACACAAATATGCCCTTCCAGTCTCAGGCCTAAGACACACTCCCATGCAGCCATCCTTCCTGCAGCCTGAGCCCTGTGCTGCCAGAAGCCTGTGCTGCAGGAGGGCATGGGTCTGGCTGCTTGGGGCCTCTCTTAATGCCCCATAGAGTCAGTAAGGAGAGAGCTGGCTCCCATCTTGTCCTTGGATATTCTTCCTCTCAGTGGTTGCCCTCATCCCCTTGGTTACTTTTGCCTCTGGGAGAACCAAGCTGAGTAAAAGAAATGGGGCAATTTTGGTCCTATGGGATCTATTTACTGAACTAGAGGACCAGTGCAGCATATTAAATATTAGTACTGTTGATTTGGAGACAGGCTTGCAGAATTAACTTTCTGTGTCATAAGGTTAGGTCCCTGCCTTTCAAAATTCCTTGCATGACCATGAAGAGCCAGTGTTGGTCCATCTTAATTCAGGATTAAAACTCTTCAGGATGTACCACTTTTGCAGCTTCCCTGCTGCCTTCCTTCCCTCGCACCTCATAGCAGCAGGCATCTACAGTAATGGAGAACAGTTGTATAGTTGAAGGAAAAACCAAGAGGTTTGAAGACCAAGTAGGCAACCCTCCTTGTTCCCTGCCTTGTGGAAGAAAAAACATTGTGCCCACGGATGTAGGGCCCTAGGGTGATTTTAAATTGACTGAAGACGCTACTTCTGTGTGAAGTTTGGCTGCAAGAACAATGTGGTAAAACACACATTACCACTTTCCTACATTATAGTTAATCACTATTTTCTAGAACAGTTAAATTGCCATCCCCTCCCAGAGAATAATTACTGCTATTTAATTGTATTTATAATTTAGTATACACCTGAAAAATATGCTGTAAAATATCAGGGGGGTTCCCTTTAATACTGGTGTTCCATTTACAAACTGTCACATTTATAATGCGTCTTTAATCTTCTGTGGTCTGCTAGAATTTTATATTAAAGTCTGCTTTGTGCTTTAAATATTAAAGATTCTGCAGTACTTCAAAAGGTGATAATGCCTGATGCTCTGGTGGTGCTTAAATCTCAACAGCTAAATATATTGAGGAATGTTCGGTGGCCCTGGCTTAATTAAACATGTATGTGTATTTTCAAATGCAATCTTTTTCTGCTTGTTAGGTTTTTGACAAACCTCCAAACAGGTCCAGGTGGAACAAAGCATGTAAACAAGCTTGTGAATGCAAGCTTAAAACACTCAAATTAGCACCTTCTTACAATTAATATGCAAACCCTGGGATCTCTGTTATTGATAATGCCATTTAATATTATTTGCAGCTGTGCCTTACGTTCTAGCCTTTTCATTTTTCTAAACCATGTCCACTTTAATTATGTAAAGATATACTGTTAGAGACTAGTCATCCAATGAGATGCTATTTACTGTGAGAAACTTACTTTACCCTATGTAACAGAGTATAAATTACAGGGCTGTGATAGCATTTCAATGTGCTATTTGTTTTGCAATGTTTAATGGTCTAATTTAGCACATATGGCTAAATCTGGAACCACCAAGATACGCACATAGGTTAACACATGGTCTGTTTATTGTTTCCATTGCTTGTTCACCGCCCCCCATGGGTTAATATGTTCCTTTTTTGCATCCTCTCCTAGCTTGGATAGCAAGTGCTACAGTGAGACAAGGAGACTGCGTAGGAACTGGGACCATAACTGCTGTATGGAGCTCTGCTGGGATCCAGGATGTGAGCCCCTCTCAGAGCCTCACTATGGACTCACGTGTTTATTAGGAGCCAATGCTTCTGTGCAAGTGAAATTGCTCTTGCAGGTTCATAGCAACAAGAAAGGTCTCAGAATGTTATTTTGTTTGTTTGTTTGTTTCAAAATAGCAGGTGAGCAAAGCTGGGCAGCCCCAAAACGTGCAGACCTCATGCCCTACAGTTGGTCTGCTTTTATCACTGTATTCTTTGGCAGTCTTGCTAGTGTGACTGCTCCTGCCCAGTTAGAGTGGTGCTGTCACAGATACTATGTGTAATTAAGTTCTCATGTTAATGACATGCTGCTTTTGCTACTTCAAATAAGTCCCTATCCAAATTCCATCCTGACTTTTTAAAAAGAAATTTGTATTTTGAACTGTTTGTTTCCTATTGAAGTGCTTTAGAAATGCTGCATTTTACAAAAACGAACAAAACTAAACCATGTATGATCACAGACATAGTCATGCATATGTCTGATACCATGCATATATCATCTCTAAATAGCTCTGCATGTTTTTGGGAACATTGCCTTCCAACACTGCATAAATACAGATTGGCCATGATTTAACCAGGGCAGGAAATATTCCATACATGGAGAGATGTGTGGAATTATTCCATTTGCTTTAGTGCAAATGTGCAGAAAGTGTCTGAATGCATTTGAAATGCGATGAAAATATCTATGAATGCACCTGAGAAATGTTCTTTTATTCCGCTGTGATAGGTAAGGTGATGGCAGAAACTGGGGAAGCTGAAATAGAGCTGCTGCAGTTTTACAGGTGAGGCAATGTTAGCAGGAAATGACAAGCAGGCTATAGTTATTATAATACCTAGGGCAAAGCAGCAAGCATACACAGTGATAGACAAATCTAAATTAATGACAGCGTAGGTGGTGTGCCATTTTAATATAAACCCTACTGGAGGGAAACTAGTGAGAATATTACAAAACAGGAATACTAAGGATCATATCTGATCGACAAAATATTTTGCACAGAAAATGTAAGTACGAGCTTGAATACTGCAGTAATTGTATGACAGTGATTATAGCAACTCTATTTTATCAAAGCATTAGAATCCTGATGATTGATTTTGGCACATGTAGGACTACTACAGTTTTAAATCTGTAGAGCAAACACCTGGAGAAACCAAACCCCACACTCTGCCTTTGCATTTTTGTATTCTCCTCTTCAAGCAGTACAGGAGCAGTTAGCTAGTCGTCATTAAGCCCATGTGAGTGAAAATCGTTTGTTTCTGTGTTGAATTCAGCGTATTTTCTCGGTCTGTAACCACCACCTATAATTAAAATGTCATCCTAACAGCATCAAGGTGCAGTGAGTAAAGCAGCTCACCTCCAAACTGCACATTTCACAGAGCTCCACAGCCCCTTGGAAATGGAAGCTCGTAGAAACTGTCTCTGTGATCTTTAATGGATTTTTAAAGATGACAAGAAAGGAAATGGGAAACTAAAGGAATGGAAGACATAAATTCCCTAAAGGTGCATTCTGAAGTAAATCAGAGCAACTGAAAAAGTGAACTCTTTGAGCCCTGGGATATCTCCCAGGTTTTTCAGCCGGACACTTACAGCTTGTCGGGTCCCTGAACACCTCTGCTCTGGGCATGCTTTGACACAGTGAGTCACAGAAAGATGAACAACATCACCTGAAGTGCTGTTTGAGGGGCAGAAAATTGCTCCCATTGCACACTATGCTGCCTTTACTCTAAATCACATGACTTATTACAACCTTCCCCTTTATAAAAGTGCCATTTAGGTATGTTAACTTCTCCAGCAGTAATAGGCATGTTTTCCTTCCTTATTTTCACAATGCAGTCAAAGAAAGAGGTGAGATCAATTCTTATAAAATCAAACTGGTATTGTTCTCAGGGCTATGGCTGCATGAAGGCTAAATAACAATAGGCAAGAACAAGAAGCTTAAAAAATCTCTGTGCTACACAATATGTGTTATTTAAATATGTCTGTTTCTATTAACTATTAGGGAACAATAATAGTTCTCCTTCCAAAGGTCTCTGACTGCAATTCTGCTTTGTAGTTCTCAGCTTATAATACAGGTGGAGGCTGAATGCAGTCAAACCCTCTGGAAGAAAAAAACAAAATATTTTTAAGCAGTTGCATTTATTAAACTTATGAAAGTATTAAATGTATATTCATGTAGTCAAGTAATATTTGGATAAATGACATTCTAGCGAAATTACATTAGTCTCATGTCTTAATAACAAAATATTTTTGTGTATGCAGAAACAACAAACGACGTGTTTTAGTGGGCTGTGATTTTCTGCAGACATAGTCCTTTTGATGAGAGCTGGTCTGATAGTGAGTGCACCACCTCCCTTGTTTAGGGTATGTGGGCATTGCTGCTCTGTCCCTCCCTGGCCTCCCTTCACGCAGCAGCACTGAACTGCACGCTGTGGCCATGCTGAGCACACAGCCTTGCTCCTGCAGCCTCTTGGGGTGTAGGGAACCCTGTGGTGAATTGTGCTGGGACAGCCACACCTCAGAATGTGACAGGGTGACCATCAGTGTCTCTGCTGCCTACTTGATATCAG